ATTATAACATCGATAGAGCCAAAATATAAAACGAAACATTAAAATCAAGATGTATCTCGTTGCATTGCGCGACCATTCTAGTAATTCTTTAAGTTTAATAACGAAACAATTTATTTTTGGTATAATAATATAAATTTTTATAAAGATAATGACTAAGTATTCTGTTAAAAGTCAATTATTTCCGAATTATATTTTAGATTTTTTATAACTAAAATGAGATGTTTATCATGTATTTAATTATGTTTATATGCAATTATTTACACGAATTCAAACATAAAGTTTTATTAAGTTGTAGTTACACACAATCTACTTGTAATCTTGAATTTTAGGTAATATGCATCAATAAATAGTATTTTATGTATAAAAAATGATTTTTAAGAGTTTTTGTCAAATGTTTTATAATATAATATAAATAATTTATTTGGATTCAAAACGGATATGGTTGAGATGTCTGTTAATTTTATTTATTTTCTTATAGTTTTTCTGATTATTGTCTAGGATTCTTCAAATTGTTTATTTTCATTTACAAATTACTTACTTTTTTAATTTATTAAATTGATCATATAAATAGAAAATATATTATGGTTTGACAAAGATTGCGATTTTCATCTTCGAGGTTTTGAAATTGTGATTTTCGTCCCGATGATTTGTAATTTATGTTGTTTTTGTCTCTATGGTTTGTAAATTGGTGTTATTTTCGTCCGTAAGGTTAAATCTATTAAACGTCCTCCATTTAATTTAGGGTATTTTAGCCTTTTTTTTTTCTTTTTTGGTTAACCGCATTTAAGTGCAAGTCGTTTAGTACCCCTCAAATAATAATTTTTAGGCTATTTTTATCAAATAAATGTATGCAATTTTATTAATAAAATGTACAATTATTTGGTCTGATAAGTCATTTAGTTATACCAAACAAATGTATGTCTTATATAAAAGTATTACAATAAGTTTATAGAATGTTATAGACATCTGTAACGAGGCTTTTTAAAATTAGGTATCCAATTAATTTTTTTGATATAACATTTTTATATGACGTATTTACGGATTTCTTTTTCAAAAACATATGCGTTTATATGACATTTTTAAAAGAAAAGTGTTACAATAAGTTCTATATAATTATTTAGTCTCTAATGAAAAATGAATAAAATACTTTTATGTAAGGGCTACTAAAAGACTTGCACTTAAACGATGTCAGAAATCGAACTCGTGAAAACTAAAATTATAATATTTAGAAAAAAAAAAACTAACTGTATTAAAAATATTTAATTATTTTATCATAAACAATAATAAAAAGACTAGAATATCAATATATATATATATATGTATATATATATATATATATATACACACACATAATATATTAAAAAGGAAAAATTATTCAAAAAGACTAAAATACCCTTAAGTTACTAAGTTAGTGGAGGATTTGCAACGTATTTAGCCTTAAGGACAAAAACAATAAACTACAAATTATAGGGATGAAATTCGCAACTTTAAAACCATAGATCGAAAATCGCAATCTTTATCAAACCATAAGGACGAAAATCGTAGTTTACTCGATAAAAAAACGATGTCAAAAAATCAATCATTTTTTTGAAGCTTATCATCACAAACCAGTTGCAATCAAAAAGCTATTCATCATCACAATAATATCCATTTCTAAGATAAAAACCAAATCCAATTCTTCCCTAACTCCATGTATTCATATATGAATAAAGAGGTATTTTCTAATATGTGTTGTTATCACAATATATTCACATGTTAATAAAATGTACATTAAACAACTATATTTTAAATTCTATTTATATTAAATCAAGAGACGAATTTTTAAATACATTGTTACAAACTTAATTAAGTTTTTGGATTATATGAAATAAGTTGTAACAAACTCTTTTACTTGAATTTCTTATGTTCTCGTTAGGGTTATCCAGCACTCTCATTATTCATCAACGATGCAGAATTCTTCAAAGATGTTACAAACGCCCAGCTGTTCAATGGCATAAGGACCCGACTCTGAATCTAAAACCATACAGTAGCATCCCAAAGCTCGGAGAAATAGATTAGCATATACAATTACAGTCAACTTAAAACCATTACAAATTTTTTTGGTGGATCATAGATTTATTCGTATAAGAACTTCACAGATCTCATGTTATACTGATATAAAATATTTGCTACTTATTACCATATATATATATATATATATATATATATAGGCAGGTTTAGTTAGCTGGAGCAGACATAATATGTACTAGTGGGGGAAAGCCACGAGTAAAACCACAACTTTCAATAAAAATATAAGAATATGTGTGAGTTTTCTCTTTATTTACCTCAGGCCTTCCATCCTTTTGGCCTTGTGCTCCCAAATGCCCCCATTTTTTTAGAGTCTCCGAGAATCAATAAATCCATACAGAAGTAAAATAATAGTATAACGTGCTATTTGATTTAACCAAACTAGTAAAAAAAATAACCAAAAAACGAGTCATTTAACTTAAAAACCAAACAACCCAAAATCGTTTTGGTTCGAATGGCATATGGGAATTCTGAATTCTTTACACCCTCAGATGTGGCCTCAATCACCTAAATTTCTGGATTCGCCACTGTCTTTTAAGAACCTAACCATTGAGATTTGAGGAACTAGAGATAGTGTGCCACATATACATATTCATCATGAATACAAACAGATGGTGCGATCTTGGGGGTTCTCTGGTTCTCAATGAGAAATAGGCCCTCCTTAGAGACCCATAAAATTATGATAATTTTGAAACTAGTACATCATGTGTTATTTTATATGATATTTTTTTCAAAACGATAGTGATTTTACAGCACCAAATCAAGATTGTGACCCCAAAGGTATCATTTTTAAAAAAATGTCATTGAGAATAAAAGCATTGGAAAAAATGTGTGGTTAAAATGAATTAAAAATCCATAGAAAGAAAACAAAAATGTCAACATTTAATTGGCCACATTAGGCCAAAGGTCAATTCTTTTGAAATTAATACAACATTATGAAGTTACCCGTGACCCCTTATTTTCTTCCCTATTCTTTTTTTCAAACCTATGATGTCATATGCACGTTGTTACAGCTTTTTTTTCGTTATATAACGCGAATTTCAACGTTTTTATGGTCGATATTCTATCTTTGTTTGTTCTCTGACAGCAGTCGCTCCAACTGTCGGAATAGAGATCAGCTCGTATATGCACATTCCGTCCACCATACTTTACTTGAGTTTCTTGATTTACAAATTTGTCTCGATGTTGACCAAATAATCACTTGATATGACCCAAACATGGGTTCATATTCGTTCAAAGATTCATGTTGTAGTATAAGCCGGTGAAACCCATGTAGGTTGGTCACAATTCCAGATCTCGTAAGTTGTATCTTGGGTTTTCGTCCCCCAACCACAAACATATCAAGAAATGACTCATTTTTTTACACTATTTATCGTACACTTGATTTCGTTCAAGAAAATGATTTTGAGGTACGACTAAAGGGTTGTCTACTAACCTATAGGGGTAAGTGTCACTTACACGTTTAAAGATGATGTTGTTTCCCATCCCCTCTTATCGGTCCATGATGTTGACCTTATAAGTTAGGGTATGGACTCTTAGGGGACGTTTCGTTGGTTTTCGATCAGGTCCTGTATGGATAAAGTTGAATGTGGATTAATCTGTTTTTATAGATTAAGAACAAAATTTTGAAGAATTTTTTCTTCATGAACGGAAGGAGCATGTTTTTCAATTGGAAGTGGTAGGTTTAGAATAAAAAACTTGGTTTTTTTCCATAAAACTCACTCCTAAAAGCTTATTAAATAGGACACTATCTATATCATTAAATCACTACCAAACAGTTATGTATAACTGAACGAATCAGTTGGAGTCCTATAAACCCATTAAGCTGTTAACAAACAACGTCTTACTTGGTCAGTGATTAGTGCTGGCCTAAACGCTTACACTTAACGTATTTGTGCTGGTAAACGGGTTCGAATGTTAAAAGAGTGATTATAAAAGAGGGTTATATTATTGACATCTAAGTATAGTTTGCAACAAGACTGATGACTACTTAGAACTGCAATATGAGTTCTGATCTCAAATCAAGATTTCAAAATTAAGGCCAGAGCCAAAGGCTTTGATCTTCAAGAGGGTATTCAAGACAGCCTTCGGTCAAGTCGAAATACGGCTCGTATTCCGACTTCGGAAACCGAAGAATGTTCCGGCTCAAGTTATCTTCTTCATCTTGTGAGAAATCAGATTGGTTTTCCAACAGATTACATGAATCTTGATGTGGGCTGTTTATCACGTCGCTCTTGGCCGAAACCGAAACAGAATTCGCATCTTCGTGCTTGCATATCACCATGTCTGCTACATTGGTCCCATTTTGAGTTAGATTTGGAATTGGAATTGGAATTGGAATTGGTTTCCCAGCATGTGATTCCAATTCCATTGTGGGAAACCCACATGCCAATGAATCTTGTTTTGCTTTCTCTCTTTGAACCAACTTTTCATTCAGAATTTGAACCTGTTTTTTTAGCAGAAATATCAAATGGGTTATTGACTTTCTGAAGATTCTTACGAAAAATGCACAAAAACCCACTGTAATTTTTGCATAAAGAACAGGGGAATTGAAGTACCTCATTCTTTAGCTTCTCATTGTCTTGTTGGAGGGAATCAAACTCCAATTGAAGCCGATCGTAGCTCGATTTCAAGAAATCATAGTCTTTTTCAAGCTGCTTAGTTTTGTATCGAGCTCGACGATTCTGAAACCAGATTGCAACCTGCCTCGGCTGCAAATTCAGCTCTTTTGCAAGCTGAATTTTCCTTTCTGGCTCGAGCTTATTCTCCACCTCAAAACTCTTCTCAAGAAACTGAACTTGTTCAGCCATAAGCCGCCGTTTCTTCTCCGGCTGACTGTAGCAGTTTTCGTAGTCTTCGTCGTGGCTTGATCCCTTTTCGAGCGGCTTATCCGGCTTCACTCTTGTTGCTGTGTTGGCTTCTCCTAAAGGGATTTTAGAACCCAAACCACATTAGTATAAAAATAACATGAACCCACATATCAAGATCAAACTTTTTCTAAAACCCATGAAAGAATTTGCAGATATCATCTAAAGAACTCAATTTTGAGCCAAAATTAGAAAGAAAAGATCACGATTTCGAAGTCTGTTTCATAAATCTACAAAAGGGTATTGATCAGAATTCCAAACAGTTGAAGGATTACCATGAAAAGAGGTAGAAGAAGAGGTGGGAATCCAGAGAGAATCAAGAACTTGAGAAGAAGAAGCAGAACTCAACAAAGCTGTGATGTTGGAATCCTGAAACACCATCTCATCTTCCATGGCAGCCATTAACAAGAAACTGGGTCCACTGTTTCACTGGTCAATCTTGAAATCCTTCACTTGGTTTCTTTTGCTTTGAAGCTGAAGGAGGTGGGTGTCAAGAAGGTGGTGATGAGATTGAGAGTAAGAAGAAGAGTCATGAAAAGGTATTTGTGTTGTAAATCCCAATTCACAGGCAGAGAGAGGAGGAAAACCATGCAAGGGTTTTGATTGATGGAGAGAGATAGAGAGAGGAAAAAAGAATCTTCTCTGAAAAGAAGAGCTTGATGGGTCTTATAAGCACAATCTTTGGGTTGGGGGGGGGGGGGGGCGTGGTAGGAGTAAGAGCTTTTCTTCTTGGCATGGTACTCCTTGACTTTACAATGCTGCCCCTCACACTTCTATCACCATTTTAATGTTCTTTAAATTCAATGCAAAGTTCTTTGAATATCATTAAATCTTTTCATATGATTAAAAAAAAGGTATCAACATCAAACAAACAAAAATTAAATCTTTTCCTTGTTTTGCATCCAATGAAAACAAAAGTAAGTTAGAGAAAAAGGGTATCATTGATTTTTACAAGGTAAAAACATTAGAATGCAACAAGATTTAAGGGTTTTTGGTAAATATTTACCTGATAAGTAATTGTCGGTAAAATTTAATATTATCACTTACTTATCGGATAAGATTTTAGTTAATAGAAACGACAATCTAATGCAACAATTTATCGGGTAAGCGCTAACCGTGATAAAAATCGTTGTCCTCATTTATCGGGTAAAACTCTCTTCATCCGGTAAGGTAAAGTGACTTGGTAACCGCTGATAAACATCCCTTAGTTTAATTTCTATTTAGGTGGTGTTTGAGATTGCTTATTTAAAACAACTTGTGTTTTTTTATTCTTAAAAGTGCTTATTAACTTATGTGGTGTCAAATAGAAGTTTATAAAAAGTGTTTGAATTAGCTTATGAGGTACCAAAACATATTAAGCTGATTTCTTTTCTTTTTTTATCACAACACTAAAAACTCTTTATTACATGTACCACACCGGGATAAGTTAATAAATTAGAAGTGAGTAATTTATTAAAAACTTCTTATCACCAGTGTCAACCCGATATAAGTATTTTAGAAAATAGGTTAAATAAATCTATGCCAATATCGTTAAATTTATAATTTATTAAAATAAAAGAGACTTTGTTGAATTGGATTTATTTGAGAAAATAATTAAAATAATTTAATGGAGAAAATTTGTTTTATTTTTTCTTTTTCTTTTTATATCTTTTTAGAAAGTGGGGATGGGTAAAAAGGTAAAATTAGAGGAAAGGAGAGAAGGAAAGGGAAGGAAACAAAGCAAGAGGTCAAATCAGTCATTTTCAAAAAGGATGATGACTCATCACCCTTCCCACGTACCCCTTGGATTCTTCTTTTATACATATCGGGTTTTGTCTATTTTAAGCCCACTTTCGCCCGCCGAGCCGCCGCGTCTTTCATAACGCGGCTTACATCTGTAATTTCTTCTCTGCCATCGGCTCCTTCGGCTTCAAGCCGTCTTCTCTGTAATAAATAAATATAATCATATTTTATCCTTTCAAAATAATATATAATTCAATAATTTTTTTTAATCACTGATTAAAGCATACGTATTTATACAAGAGTATTAAAAACTTATTAAAAAGATATTCGCATAATGCAATAACATACATCTTGATTTTATTGTTTATTTTTTATTTTTTGTCTATTGATATAATATAATCTTATATGGTTTTGAGAAATTAATAATGTTTTTATTTTTGAATAAAATCCAAATTTTAATTACAATATTTTTAAATTTATATTTTTTTTTAAATATATTGATATTTATATCAAATTAACTATCTAAAAGTTCTTGTTTTTTGTGTATTTTTTTGTATTCAATTTTTTATTATAATTTAATTTAGGCCTAATAATAATAATCAATTTATTTTTTGTTTAATAATATAATTTTTTATAAATATAATAATTAAATATTCTATTAAAACTCAACGATTATCTTAATTATATTTTAGATTTTTTTTATATTTAAAATGTGATGTTTATCCTGTATATGATTGTGTTTATCTGCAATTAGTTACACGAATTCAAAAAATGGAGGTTTAATAAGTTGTACCGATATATTATTTACTTGTAATCTTAAATTTTAAGTAATATACGTTAATAAACAGTACTTTATGCATAAAAAATGATTTTTAAGAGTTTTTGTCAAATGTTTTATAATATAGTGCAGATAGATGGTAATTAATTTTATCAATACTTTAGTTTAAAGATAAACATTTTTTTCTTATATATATATATATATGTGTGTGTGTGTGTGTGTGTGTGTAATGTAGTGTGGTTAATCGCAAAGCCTGAGCTTCATACTGCACTACCAACCACTGAAATCAAACGACGATGCAGTTGAAATGGTACAACCAGTTTTTACGATCCAACAATTTTTTTTCGAAAATACTGCTACAGATTAGCCACGTTTCTCAAACTCAACAAGGTCATGAAGATGTCCGACATACCCTAAAATCGTGAAACAATCACCTCACCCCCATCTAAAGTACGATCATGTCCTATTTCAATTCTAGACGCTCAATTCGTCCACAAATTTAAGACGTCTTAGCCTCTCATACTCTCGCCACACTTCACGGGCACGCATCATCAAGCTTTCTCTTTTTCCAAAACCTTTCACGATATCACACTTTCCATTGATGGATAATACTATTAATGTCGGAAATCAATCCCTTTGTACTTATCCACCTTCAAATCCAAAACTCATTACATCCAAAACTAACAACATAAAACACATGGCATCTGTCATCACAACTGATCATTTAAAAATAAAATAGTTTCCAAAACCTATTTTCTGTTTTCAGATGATTTTTTTTTTTATCTGAATCTGAAACTGAAACATAAAAATCATGATATTAATTATTAAACAATTGAATTTATTCTTTAAGGGAGTTGGTAGGAAAAAGGTGATGGAAATGGTATCAAGTTGATGTCCAAATAGGTGATATTTGCTTATAAGGAGAAGGTGGAGTGTGAAAGTAATATTGCTGAAAAGTAGGGTACTTATTCAGGTTTTTGCAGGCAGAGGGGTTGAGGGGTTACTTTTTTCAAACTACAAGTACCAAAAATGTAATATTTTAAATTGGTTTGGTGATGGCTCGTAATTCGATGTAAAATGTGTGCTTTTGCAGGCACTTTTTTATACCTCGTGATTTGTGTAAAATCTTTTTCCACCAATGATCAGGTTCAATTAATACGACACACGCAAGCCCTCAGTCTTTTGTTTTATTAAAAAAATTATGATAAATAAAGCTGTCTGTGTGAATTGATTTGACGGTTTGAACGGTTCAACGATTTGGTCCGGTTTAAAAGATAGACAAACTGCTTGGTCTGGTTTATATCTACTTTTCATGTTGTATAAAATGAACGAGATTTACGGACTGGAACAACAGATACGATCGAAATACCTGTTATGAAAGAGGGGGCATCACGAACACGTATAGGAAGGTACACAAGCATTTAGAAACAACCTAATCCAATGTCATTTACAAACAACAATTTCTAACGACCGTTGAAAAATGACAATAGGGTGATTACAAAGGGAATTTAGAATTTTTTTTATTCTCATTCCAAATATATATGATGTGTACTGATTTAAATTATCAGCCATTATTAAATTGAAATAACTGCATTTGGTCATCAACTAGAAACATAAACAAATATTAAACTACATTTATTGTACGAACATTAGTATTAAAAATAACGTTGAAAAAAAAAAGCAGAGTACTTTTAATTTATTATGATGGTTAGATCCTTTTTGAATTTATATCCAACATAAATGTAGCTTATGCATGTGATACAGTATAAGCACATACAATCAATAACTTTTCTTTTTAAACAATCGAGTAGTTATATATTATTCATAATTATAGACAACAGATAACAAACGTACAATGATAACTTTACCAAGTACTTTTTTCTTCATAATACATATAATAAAGCAAATGACACGTTATTTCTTGTCAATTCTGCAAAGATGGACAATTTTTTTATTGTAATCGTGGATTTTCAGGTCAACTTACGTGCACTGATTAATCATCCGAGCTGAATGGCCTAGAGTCATCACAAGTGAACCTCCATCGCCACAATAGTTTTACTTTATCCATTGTTGATAGGAGGTAAAATCGATAAATCTTTTCATATAAAAAAAAACTTATGTTAAAGAAAAACCCAACATCCCGTATATAATAAAAGAAATACGTTTACATAACATAAAAAGGGCAAAACTTGAACGTACGAACTCTACTTCATTTTAAAAACCTAGAATTCTGTCATACGTTTTGTCGACGTTCTCTTGATAATTTGTTATGTAACGGTAAAGGGTAACGTTTAAAGTTATACAGTCTACGTTTCCGATCATTTTAATAAGTTGGGTTTGAAATATAAATCAGAAAATGGTTGATGTGTAGGTATGCTATTGGTTGGAATTTATTCCCCTTTTTTCAAAGTAGTGATTGGATTAGAAGTGTTGGTAGGTTTGTTGATAAGACCATTTGAAGTCAAATATGTGTCCTTGTACATCTTTCTTGTTTTGAATTGCTTGTTTTTATGGAAGTTGCTCCTCCTAAGGAAATCTTTCATTTCATCAAGTTATACACAACAAAAATCTTACCATTTTTAATCCATCTAAGTTCAATGTATGATTTTTATGCCTAAAATCCGTTCATAAATCGACCGTCATCGATTCATTTTATACTCTAATTTTGGTTTACGTCATTATTAGAAGGATAAACCGTAGGTCATTTATGGAACTGTTGTAAAATGTTACATTTAGAAGCATCTCCAGATGGATGTTCTTGTAAGAACCTATTTTTTGTACTTTTTCTTGTCATATCAGTTCAAACCCGACAAATTTAAGAACTTGAAATAAAAATCCACAATAGTAATTCTTATAAGAACCTTTTTTTTTGTTGGTCTCGTGTATTTTTTTCAATGTCGATGAATAATTATAAACTCGATAAAATATATAAGAGAACTAACAAAAATGTTATTTCACACTAATGGGTCGTTTACCAAACATTTATCCGGTAAGTGTTTATCGGTAAAATTCAACACTATCACTTACTTGTCGGGTAAGATTTTAGTTCACCAAAACGGCATTGTATGCAACAATTTACCTGTAAGTGCTGACCATGGTAAGAGTCGCCGTCCTTACTTACTGGGTAAGATTTTTGTCTCACTCTTACCGGGTAATATTCTTGGTATTTGGCATATTCCTCCAGTAAGATAATGTGACTTGATAAACACTATCCAGGTAAATGTTTGGTAAACAACCTCTAAGTTCAATGTGAGACCCAAGATTGTTGTACAATAACTCAACGAATATGAGGTTCACACATGAATTTTATCAAATAGTGGGTTTTCTAATAACCTACATTTGGTCCAACTTTTTTTTTTTTTACTAAAATCTTAGTTTCAGTTAAAATCTTAGCATCACTAATATATATTTCCTTTATAATTTTTCATCTGTTTTATGCATTAGTTTTTCCTCTTAATTCCTTGTTTATATAATCTCACGAGATACTGGAAACCTATTTACATATGTACCCTCATGGATACATTTGTGATTGTTCGCTTTGACAGCTCATTTTACAACGTAAATATGCTAATAAAAAAGATCATACAGGAAATGAGTTTGATACAGATAGTGCACTAAATAATGTCGACTTATAGAATTATTGATAGGTGTCCAAAATCCTGATGTTTTGTTATAAGAAAAACTTTTACTTTTGCGTTAAAGTTCTTTTTCGTTGTTTTGAAATATGGGTATTCCTTTTTTTTATAAGAAATAAAGATAACTGCTAACATAATACATAATATGATAAGGCATGCTATCAGTTCTTTTATTCAATTGCTGCCTTTTAAATCTTTTAAAATAAAGGTGGCGTTTGTTTTTTAAGTAGTGCTGAAGTCTGAAGTCTGAATTCACTTCTAATTTTTAGGAGGTTGTGCTGAAGTCTGAAATCTGAATCAGTCAGACTGTTTGTTTTTTGCGTCTGAAATCTGAAATTTGAAGATGAGAGATCGAGTGTTGATATGGATCGACAGTTGACAAAGTTGAGAGATGAGAGATCGAGACAGAAGAGTTGATCTAGAGAAATCGAGCACAAAGAGATCAAAGTAGATAGAGGACGATTTGAAATAAGAGGTAATTGAAAAAAAAAAAACACACTGAATCCTCTTATGTCTGACCAATTCAGACTTAAGAGGACATTAAAAGTTTTTTTTATTAAAAACAAACAACCCCAAAGAGTTATAGCTTCGAGTTTTTTTTTTTTATTTGGGTACATATTTTATCTGTATTATTTGTAGATTTTTCTCAAAGAATGCAATAAACATATGTTAAGATTACATTGAAAAACAGGTTTTTTTAGCAGAATTAAAAAACCAGTATAATTATGTAATTACTAAATTATGAAAGTATTTATGTTTGATTTTTAAAAACCAGAAATATTAGTTTCAATTATAACACATAATATTTTTGTTAGACATTTAAAACGACCAATCTATATATATATTAAAAGAAGAACCAAGAGTATTGAGGTGGCATCATGAGAATTGAGTATTGAAGTGTTGGTGAATTGTGGTTGAGTTTGAGATAT